TTGATATATGGAGACAGAAAAATGGCAATTCAAGAGAGTACACCTACTTTTCTGAAAGACACAGATCCTTCTCAAGAATAGACATGATTTGTATTTCAAAGAACTTGGCTACTAAGGTTTCTAAAGTAGAAATATTACCAGAGACTTTTTCAGATCATAACCTGTGAGTTTGGTTTATAAAAGAAAATCTAGTTCTTTTAGATGGAGATTAAAAGAAATGTTGCTACAGAAAGTAGTAATAGTGGAGGAATGTAAAAAGAAATTAAAAGATTTTTTAAAAAATAATTTAGGTAAAGGCACTGATTTAAGAATGGCTTGGGATGCAAGTAAAGTTTTTATTAGAGATTATTTTATACAACATAAAGTGAACTCAGAAAGAACAGTCAAAAGAAATCACGAGCTATTTGGATGAGATAAAGAGAAAAGAAGAAGAATTACAGATATTTCCAGAGAAGATAAGTATTTCTTAACAAATTAAGCTTTTACAATGGCAATTATCTATGTTAACAATAAGGAAATAAAAATGAATTATGGAAAGCAAAAAAAATTGAGTTTGCAAATAAACAAGGGAAGCGGCTAGCATATAAATTAGGAAAAGAAAAAGAAAAGAAAATGATACTGAAATTACAAGTGGGAGATACTATATTAATGGATAATGCAACCATACAAAAAGCATTTCATCAATATTATTTGAACTTGTATACAGGAAGTGACATCTCTCTGGAGAAAATAGATGAATAGCTAAAGAAACAAAGTTTACCAAGGATTACAGAGGAACAGACCTATATACAATAAGGGACGTTTCTGAAGCTATAAAGAAGATTAAACCAGGAAAGGTGCCTGGACCAGATGGATTGCCAGGTTCTTATTATAACTGTTTTGAGGATGGACTTTCTCAACCTTTACAAAACACAACGAACTCTACCTTACAGGGAGGAAAGATGCCAGAGAGCTGGAAAGAGGCCAATATAGCACCAATACCTGAAGAGGGACAAGATCTGACTTTAACAAGAAACTATAGGCCGATATCATTATTGAATAATGACTACAAG